CGGACACGTTCCGACAGATAATGCACGTCGGTATGTATCGCAAATGCGCGGTTTCGTTAATAAAGAAAAAAAAAACAATTACAAAATTTTTCAGATATTATATTATACATGATAAAATATGACAGTGTGTAGATAGTGTAAAAATCTTCATAATAAAGGAACCTCGGCTCCGTAATGATCTTCTCTTTCCATTTCATCAGACAGTCAATAGAACGAATTCTTTGAACTCTCCAAGCTTCAGAGAACATATGTAGTACATTCGTCACGCTCGCAAACATCTTTGTGCTTTCGGCATAAACTGCGCATGTCTATATAGATCATGCCACAATGAATAAGGAAAAAGTGCAAGAATGCAGCATATATTATGTCGGTGATTATATCGGCTCACAATCAGTCGTTGCCATAGACGTAGGAAATATAGACTGCGGGTATCGAACAAATCTTGCGCCAAAATTAGAAAAAAAAATGCAACGTCTCTAAATTATGATTGCCATGGGAAAAATTTTCCTCTAGTTAAAAAAAAGAGATAAACATACTTTCGTGACATTGCGTTCTTTTTCTAATTTTGGCGCGCGAATACGTAATAGATAACATAACATATGTGCAATCTATACTTCTCCTACGTCTATGGTTGTTGCTCACATTTCATTTTTAGCCCATCAGCGATAGAGGTCGCAATATCTCGCATTCATAATGATTAAAGAATGCGAGGTCTTCTACCCTCTTTACATCCCGCGTCTTCGTCTCATCTTATACATCCGGTTGCGCGGTCGGAAAGATTCCGAGAGGTGATGGCCAACGTAACGGCCGTCGTGAATCCGGTGACAACGACGATGCAGGTGATTCATCGCACAGCGTGCCTATCGTCTCGCATGCATTTACACGTTATTTGCACATTTTCTGAGGTGTCGATTGGCGCCTTTGGGATATTTGCCTAATACAGAGAAACAAAGATATGCAGCTTGACTGAACAAGTATTCTGCATGTTTTTCTTTTAAGATTATTTAAGATTTAAATATGCAGAATTTTGCTACATTATATTTAATTTAAGTATAATCGAAAAAATGCCTTAGCACATGAAATAAAAATTATAAATATTAAATATAATTGGACATTTTCGAAGCATCCGTGTTGTATCTAAATATTTTTATATCTACTTGTCGAGTCGATGTAAATTTCCGATTATATTAATATTGACTGTTAACATCAGTACACGGAGGGATAATTAACTTGAATCTCTCGTTTAACTGTATTCAGTACACGTGCGAGAAAGAAACTTTTTCAAGTTCATCAGTGCGTCGACAAGGAAGTAATATCTCTAATGACATTACTAGGGCGTGCTACGTTTTGTTACAGGATACCACCGCTGGTATATTAAATGTAGACATTAGTCAGCTAATGTTTATCGGCCGGAGATGGAGAGCGAGACAGTGGATGTCGGACGCGAGATCTTAATTGGATCATAATTCATCGGCAGTCTTTCTCGCGGTAATGCCGCGTGTCGCCGTTCTTTTCCAGGGTATTTCTCGGATCTTCCCGCGTACACGCATGCAGATGAGATACGCAGATCTTTTCATCATGATGCGGTTCAAATAAATTTCTCTTTACAGAAGGTAAAATAATAAACACTAAAAACGCATACATCATCTTAGGCAGAATAATTCAAATCTATCATGCGTAATAAAGTTATCGTAATTCTACGGAAATGTTAATATCCGCGAGAATATCCGAATATGATCAATAAACGCATCTATTTCATTGTATACTCGAAATGTGCCTCTGAGAATTTTATTTTCCGCAGATCCACACGATGTGCTAAAAGAACGTTTCATCGATTCCAGCCGAAACTTGGGAGAAGAGTCCGACAGTCTCGAACGTGGCTAGAATCGGTACCTACACGAACGTTTCCTGCCGACCCTTCCGGCGCGCGCTTGACAGCGTACAAAAAGCACGCGCCTGCTTTGTTCCGTCCGTTCGTTTTCGTGACCAAGCGCCGATCGCTGAGGTCGCAGCTTCCGTCGAGGTGTCCGAAGGAAACGCGATGCCGGGAGAGAGAAGAGGGAGGAAGAAATTCCCGGTAACTTTCCCTCCTACGCGCAAACGGTTCGTGAGAAGCGAGGAGAGAGGCGGTGGGCGGAGGATTCCCCCCATGCTAGCGATGGGATCAACCGTGATTTTTCTTCAATTACCATTTAATCGTGTTTTAAGTTAAGATTACGTCGCTCGAAATATGTCACTCGCTTTTTTCAATTACGACAGAACATTTGATTTTGAGATATCGCATATATATTTTTTTCTGCCAAATTTATGGTTATTATACAGATATCGAGTATATTATTTATTGTAATATAAAATGAGTTACAATAGATGTACAAGATTGTTACAATCTCTTTTGTTTGAATTTACCCCAATAGATATTAATATGTAAAAGTAAAAAAAGCGGTATGGACATAAAAGATTATTTAAGTTGTTAGTGATAATGGGATAATGTATTCAGAATCTTAAGTATGTGCTATTCTTTGTATTCCCGTAAACACTTTTCAGATATTTATTAATAATCTCCGAAAAAAGTGAATACGTTGTAGCTGCAAGTTATATTTATCTCAATATCCTACTTCAGCTGTCATCTCGATCTGTTTGAACCGAGGTTGTAAATCAGGAACCCTGCAATGATCCTAAACGCGGTCCTCGGCGGGGCCCATATTTCAAAATGTTAACAGCATGCCATAACTTTTTGGTCCCGTTGCCTGTTGCTCTTCTGATCAAACTCCGCCGTCTTCAAACCACACGTTTTTTTGTCATATTTTTCTTTGTTCCTAAAATCGAAAGTACTCGATAACGCATAGTTAGAACATAGTCTGGTTTCTGATCGGGGATGCGCCGTCGCCGAGAAAATTGGATCGGGCCCATCACTACTCGGGGCCCTGGCTGGCGAGCCTTTCTAATCCGTTGGGAATGAGTTGATGTTTTCGCGCCAGCTAGTAGATGGTAACGGACGTGCTGCCTAGCAGAAGGGGCAAGGACGACCGAGGCCGACCGAGACTGGCCTCGCCTGCCTCGCACGGGAGGAAGTCACGGGAGAGGGAGAGAGAGAGAGAGAGATCACCACACTAAACAGCAACGACCGCGCGCGCGCGCGTCCACGTGTGAGTGGCCGTGCGTGGTACGATGGTTGATTTGTGTGCGTGCGCGTGGTTACACGATGCCACCGACACCGGATCTCGAGAAGTCATGCGAGTTAGGAGCAACGTGGGATTTCGCGAAGCGTTGCATCGCGATGGAATTTCGCCCTCTCGACTCTCGACCACCGCCATCGGCGAGACATTTCCTCGATGTCGCGAGAAAAAAATGTCTCGGAAAAAGAAATAAAGTCAATAAAAATTCGGAATTCCTCGCAAATCCTTATTCCTTTCTATTTAATTAAGCAGAGCAGGCTCTTAAAATTATTTACGGAAGACACGCGGCGTATTAGACCTCTCGCGCGATGTCTCTCGATTAGTAGAAATGTAACCGCATGAAAGTCTACGAGCGGCTTCAGGCTTCAGTGAATTTGAAATGGAATTCAAATGGCTCGCGGTACGATAAAGCTTGTACTTGTATGTTCCTTTTACGTCAGGTCCTGCAGTTCTGAGTAAGCGAATACTAAACGGCGAGACGCGTTTATCGTACGGAATGCATGTATACGCAGGTGCACGAACGTCGATGTACGCAAACACGTTTGTGGAATGCATAATTTATTCAATTTAAACTATATCGTGGCATTCTTTTCGGGGTAATCGTTTTTATTTCGAGACGTTGACACAAGATGCGTTGAATCATTTGCAATTAATTACATTCAATTAATTAAGCATAGCACATAAAAGAATGGTTTTTAAAAGCATCTATATATGTATATTAATGAAGCTCGATAAATTCCGCTCGTTGCGCATTTATCACACGGTTCTTTTCAACTTGCGTTTATTGTAAATCATCCGGACTCTTATTCTTTTAACGTTCTAATTTTCGGGAAGTTAATGTCTCACTCTGGGGCAGCTGTTTTCCCTGACGCAGACGCCGCTGTTATCATCCCGCACGTAGCCGTCCTCGCAGACGCAACCGCGAATGCAGACCTTCGTCCTGGCGCAACTCATCGTTTCCCAATTGTCCATATTTTCACATGTTTTCTGGCATGTCCGATCCCCAGAACACTCGCTGTACTCCTCGTTCTCCTCACATTCCACCGAAGAAAACATATCAAGATCTTGATAGTTTTGATAATCTACATCTAGAAAACAAAAAAAAAAAAACTTTCTCTATATCGCATGTACTAAGAAAAAAAACCGTTATACTTTCCGTATGATTGAGATTTCTCGCTTGAGAATTTTAAGCGGCTTCAGGCTTCAGTGAATTTGAAATGGAATTCAAATGGCTCGCGGTACGATAAAGCTTGTACTTGTATGTTCCTTTTACGTCAGGTCCTGCAGTTCTGAGTAAGCGAATACTAAACGGCGAGACGCGTTTATCGTACGGAATGCATGTATACGCAGGTGCACGAACGTCGATGTACGCAAACACGTTTGTGGAATGCATAATTTATTCAATTTAAACTATATCGTGGCATTCTTTTCGGGGTAATCGTTTTTATTTCGAGACGTTGACACAAGATGCGTTGAATCATTTGCAATTAATTACATTCAATTAATTAAGCATAGCACATAAAAGAATGGTTTTTAAAAGCATCTATATATGTATATTAATGAAGCTCGATAAATTCCGCTCGTTGCGCATTTATCACACGGTTCTTTTCAACTTGCGTTTATTGTAAATCATCCGGACTCTTATTCTTTTAACGTTCTAATTTTCGGGAAGTTAATGTCTCACTCTGGGGCAGCTGTTTTCCCTGACGCAGACGCCGCTGTTATCATCCCGCACGTAGCCGTCCTCGCAGACGCAACCGCGAATGCAGACCTTCGTCCTGGCGCAACTCATCGTTTCCCAATTGTCCATATTTTCACATGTTTTCTGGCATGTCCGATCCCCAGAACACTCGCTGTACTCCTCGTTCTCCTCACATTCCACCGAAGAAAACATATCAAGATCTTGATAGTTTTGATAATCTACATCTAGAAAACAAAAAAAAAAAAACTTTCTCTATATCGCATGTACTAAGAAAAAAAACCGTTATACTTTCCGTATGATTGAGATTTCTCGCTTGAGAATTTTAATCTCATACGAATTTGCAAACAACGTGAAAGAGAAACGTGTGTTTCAAACAATACAACTTACTCTCACCGACCTCGCCGACAGACCCATCGTCCAAATTATCGGAACAATAAACGCCGGAAAGAACAGCGAAAGCGAAAAGCACGAATCGCGCTTCGAAGAATTTCATTGTGTCCGAGACAGTTTCGAGGAATATGAGAAGAGTGTGTGCACCGTCGGACTTAAGTACTCGCCTGATATCAAACTGGTGCATTGCCGGTATCAATGTAGCGACCAGTTTTCTCGTATGCAGATTCTCGATATCGGCGCGACGTGCCATAAATCGTGACTAAAGGGTCGTTAGATATACTTGAGCACAGGAAGAGGAAGATACATGTTCATTTCCTTTGGCGAGAAATCGCAACGAGTCTCTTGCGGTGGTTTTGCGTTATATATTTGTGGATTTTTCAATTGTACAGCAACTCGGTTCACATACAACATATAGGTATTATGTTACTTTAAAATTATTCGTATATTATAGCTTAAACTAAATAATCGTAAAAGAGATTAATAACGTATTCGTGTTTTTTTTTCCTCTATTGGGAATGAAAGATGTTCAATTTGGGGATACTATTATGTTGCTGTGTAATTTAATTCTTATAATTATTAGGATCAAGCGAAACGGAAGTTTTATTGTTAGGCATATTCGAATACACGAGCTATAGTGGCACGTTAGATTTGAGAAATTCTCGAAATAGAAATTATGGTCTTCCGCTTTGATTAATCGTGCTTGCTCCAATGTAACTACGAATGTTTCCCCTTATCGTACAAAATAAATACGTCATTAGATAATAATTAAATGAAAATTGACTTCCGTTTCTGATAACGAATGATAATGAAAAGCCACTCGCCAGTGATATAATGTTTTTACAATTTTATACATTAATTATTGCATGTTAATGAATTTTTTTTATAACAAAAAATCTAATTATTATTATTACGCTACACACAGAGTAAATAGTAATATATTGGATAAATATAAAAGAAATTTCTCTTGATTCATGTTGAGATAAACTTATTTTTAAAATCCATAAAATTATCAGGACAAAATTATATTTCCTAAAGTATCGATAAAACTCCATTTATGAAAATCACCTGTATAGTAGCCATAATTGATTACATTGATATTCGATTAATTATGTAAGTTAGATTTAAGTTTTTTAAATCTAATTCGCGTTCAGACTTGGAACGAAATTAAAATAAAAAATGGAATTATCGAGTTTGTCAGAGATACGGTTATGACAGTTTGTGATAACAAAAGAGATAGAGTGATCGTTATTAAAACTAGGAAAGTGTCTCAATATGCCTCGTGTCAATCGTGTCAACTACCTAATTAACTAAGAGCGACTTGAAGAAAGCGATTATATCACAGAGAAGCAGCGACGGCGGCGGCAATATCTACCAAATCTTAGCTGCAATGGCTCTCTGCATTAAAACGTTCTTGCTTCGCTGTTTCATGCGCTCAATGAAGTACTCCTTGCCTTCCAGGTTACCGTCGACAGGTTCAACCCCTTCATTCTGGCAACAAACGAGAGTTAGTTTGTTCCTCGCGTGTGTGGCTGATCATCATCATCATCATCATCATCATTTTCACTTTCTGTGTCAGCTATTCCTCGCTTTTATCATCAATTGTTATCATGATCGTCATCGCAAAGAAGACGAGTCGGCCATTTGCCGTATGCCGAAAACCTACGCGGAGTCTAACCAACCTTGGTGTTAGCTGCATCGCCCCCCTCTCCCTCTCCCCACCTCTCATAGTCATCATCGTCCCTCTCTTCTCCTTCGCTCAAGGGCCCGGCTTGCCTCTTATTAGGTGGTACGGTCGAGCCACCGCTGCCACCCTGCTGATGTTCGACGTCGTCGCCACCCTCGAGCATCTTGTTGATTTTCTCCTTCGCTTCGTCCACCTTCCTCATCGGATCGGGCGAGTAGCTGCGATCGCTGTATCGATCGCGCGATGATGCACGGCGATCCCTAAAGTCCCTCCTATCGCGGAAGTCACGGAAATTTTGTTTGTTGTGGAAGAATCTGCCACCACGGTTACCGCGACCGCCACGGCCGCCACGATTATTAAAGCCACCACCGCGACGATTGCCGAAACGATTGTTGTGCTGATTGTTGTAGAAACGATTCCGGTTTTGGAAATTGTTACCGCCGCCGCGGTGATTCGGATTGTTGAAGCCTTGGAAGCGTGGCTTGTAATACGTGCCGCGATTGTTGTACGGCCGAAATTGTCTCTTGCGGTAGTAACCTCGGTCACCTGACCTACTGCGGCTGCGACTCCTCGTATACGATCTAGTTCGTGATCGTGATCGCGATCTGCTGTACGTACCCGAGGGAGATCTGCTGTACTTTCTCTCATAACTGCCTGATCGTCGATTCGAGTATGATCGTGAACGGCTTCGCCTCGGCGATCGTGATCTTGATGAGCCCGAACTGGATGCGCTGCGAGATCGACTGCGCGATCGTTTCGTTGGACGGTCTCTACTCATACGCTTGCTCACGCCGCCTCTACCGCTTGATTCACGTTTCTTCGGAGTCTGTCGATGTTGACCTCGCTCGGCCTCGCTATCGGAATCTGTTCTCGGCCCTTTGGCTTGATTCTGGTTCTTCGCTGGTGGCGGAGGGCGCGGTGGTTCGGGTGGATGCCCGGCTCCGCTGTTTTGACCAATCGGCTGAAACTTGCCTCCCAAATTGTTGCTAGAGCCGAATTTGGTTGGTGTCGTTTGCGAGATAGACATAACGGGATCTTTGTATGATTGGAATTTGTTCTGCGGTTGCGGCGTAGGATACTTGACAGGCGCTTGTTTTGGTATCGGAGGCTCTTTAGGCAATGGCGGCGGAGGCGTTGGTGCAGGCTGCGGCGGCGGCGCCCTTTTCTCGGCAAGTTCACGTTGCATCTGCTTCCGTATATTTAAAGACTTTTCGAGAGCCGCGCGTTGAATTCTTTCTTCCATTTCGTTATCATCGTCCTCATCACTATCCACAAAAACATTAGATTGCATCTTCTTGTTTTCCGGTGGAACGTCTTGCCATTTTTGCGGAGGAACGTCCTTTTGTCTAAAATTATACATTAATGTTTAAATTTGCAGTCAAGTAAATTTAAAAATTAAAATTCCGATAATATAAGTGAAAATGACTCTGATAATATAGTATATATATAGTATGTTCAATTGAAATATAGATTGAAACTTATATGGAACAATTTAGTTCATGTTTCAGATGAACGTATCTAATACAATATCAAAATAAACACATATAAAGTGCAAATAAGAATCAGGCGCGAATGTACGTCGTAAATAACATACTTATTTTAAACACCAGATAAAAAAAAAGAAAAAGAAAATGTAAATAAACGTTCTTGTTAAGACATAGTATAATTTACCGCCATTTTACTAAAGATGATTTTAAAATAAATCTCGAAATATTCATTGCCTTTTACATGTGTTTATTTTAATACAAGTAAAATTTGAAATATTAAATTTTGTAGATTTATAATAAAGATTCGTTGTATGTGCTTCATATACTCACCTAGCAGCTTGTGCAGCTTTCCATTTTGCATTCAATGCAGCGGTGTCTAACGTAGGCAGCTTCGGTTCTGGATGAATCAACTGGGACTCTTGTTCAAATATGTCTGTTAGTGGCTTTCTCTGTATTTCTATGACAAACAATTATAGCGAGATTTTATTATATTGTTGTATTACTGTACGAACACGTTCGCTATCACTATGTGGTTGGAAAACCGTTCGTCCAGGCTTTGGCATTACGATTCATTTCTGTTACGTAATGTTGAGTTCTCATGAGAATCAATGCGTTACACATATGTGACGCGTGGTAGCAAACGTGTTAATATTTTATATATATATATATATCCCTCTCTCTGCGCAGCTCTTCCTCCCTCCGTGAACTCTCAGCGAGCTTCTCCGCGTTGCTAAGAGGGGAAGGTATGTCATTATACTGTGCTACATACCTAGTAAATATAAAAACACAAGTAGAATACGATATCTGACGACCGCGTGATTTCCGTTTAATTGCGTTAGCTGAGGATATGAAATTAATGTAAAAAAAAGGGGAGATGATTGACATTACAACACAAAGTTAAATTAAATATAGATTGTTAACCGAATAATTAAAAAAAAATAGATATTAAACTCATATTGAGACATTTCTAATAAAGATTCCAACCTTTTTAGCGCCGCACAGTCTTTCTCAACCTTCGCATAATAAGCATTAAGTTTGGACTCTAATTGTTCCAAATCTGGCAAAGATGACTTTTTCAACGCTTCTAAATCTCGTTCAAGTTTATCCTTGTTTTTACGCTTTTTCCGTTCTTCCTTCTTCTTTTTCTTTCGACTCTTCTTATCCTCCTTCTCTTTATCTTTCCCTTTCTTCTCTTTCTTCTTCTTTTTCTTCATTTTTTCGCTCTCAGAATGTTTCTTTTCTTTTTCCCTTTCTCTCTTCCATCTCGCTGTCTCTTCCAAGAATTTTCTCACCTGTTCGCATAAAAAAATGATCTCGTATTATTTTAATTTTGATATTGCACATACTTGAAATATATTGTAATTGAGTAAACCTATAAAGAGTAATGTAAATTATAAAATTATACTTGCCTTATCTTCGTAATCGGAATCGTCCTTGGTCTGCTCAAGAAACTTGCGTACTTTAGTTTCATAGTCATCAACTTTTTCGCGCGTATTTGCAGTATAAGAGGCTGGAGCGATAGTATCATGAGTAGTGGCAGCTGCAGCCGGAGGATTATTATATTGAGCCATACGCTTGCTAAGCGGTGAAAGCGAACTGCGATGATCTTTCTTGTGCTTGCGCTTACGGTTCGGCGAACGGGACGCTGAACGAGAGCTTCCGGATGACGACGAGCTGCTCGAGTCCGAACTTGAAGAACTCGAAGAACCGCTGGACGAAGAACTCGAGCTGGAACTCCATCTCTGTCTCTTTTTTGATCTAGATTTTCGCTCTTTTTTGCGTTTCTTTTTATCTTTCTTGTTCTCTACAACGTCATTTTCGGCTTCGAAGCTCTTAAAGGTATCCAAAGGATTCAGTGATGCTGTAAGAGTCTTAGACTTTATGTACTCGATGGAATTTCGCGCTTCCTCATGATACGGTGCGATCGCCAAGCAATTCTCATACGCCTTTTGAGCGTCTTCGTATTTCTTCTCGTCCTCGTAACTACGACCGAGCGCCACCAACGTTTCCGCCATATACTTACGAGCATTTGCATGTGTTTGATTTAATTTCAAGGCTGTTTCAAAGTCGTCAATCGCTTTCTTGAAGCTTCCACTATTTGCATATCTGTGCAAAACAGAAGATAGTATATTAAACGCATCTATGCATATATCAATATTGTAAATATTAATAAACATATTGTAAATATTAATAGGAAAACTTACAATGCTCCTCGAGCGACTAAGCCTTCAACATTCCGAGGATCAACGGTGAGTGCTTTGTTGAGGCACTGGAAAGCTTCGGAATGACGACCGGCCTTGAAATGATCTATACCCTCAGCAACGCTTCGGAACGCCCATTTGCTTGCTTGCGCTTGTCGTAATTCGGAGGCGTACTCATTCGGTGGAAACCTCTCTCTGCATATCAATAAAAGTAAAAGTAATTAAACATATGAAAATAAAATTTACTCCATATTTATTAATATAATTTATAGTGTAATTTAGTGACATCTTACCTCAATCCAACCATATTTGAATGATTCTCTTGTCCGAGGCCGATCAAGTCGCACAGATATTTTATGTTGTTCGGATTGTTGAAGCCAGTACTATTCTCCAACAGCGTTTCATAAGTCTGGCCTTTGTTGTCCATCGCTTTCCTACACCACAGAGAAAAATATTTGATTATCAAATATTGCAAAAAACGTCGTGACCTTTGTCAAAGAGGAGGAAACCAAAGCTACTTCGTTAACGGTAAAACCAAAGACTTGATAACCATGACAGCCGAGTCCTCATGATCCTGTTGGTAGATAATATCGCCTGTTTGGCAATGCATGTGCAGCTCGGTTTTCTCTCTGACACATCTCAATATATATATATTTTTTATACTCTCATACATATATATTTATATGTGCACATTATCCATTGCAGTCTTCCCACATTCACATAAAATTCCCACATTAAATAGTTTTGTTATTCAATTATTCCTGCACAATGTGATGCTTCTTTACTTCGATCTGCATGTATTATTCAATGAGGTGATACTAATGCCAAAAGTGCTTTAATTTCAATCTCTGATTTCATCCTACACAGATTGTTGCAACTTCTGGTATTAGAATCGTTCAAAATCTACCGTTTCTACCGTTAAGAAGCAGCAGGGGTCCGAACAAGGATGGCAGAAGGTAAAATTCCTTTATTACCAGATATAATCTCATAGTTATAAATTCACATTGGTACACAACCTCAATATTATGTAAACTCGTCTCTCACCTTTCATGTACCATTAAGACGTATATTTCTAGTATTTTGTATCACATTTGTAATCAGATTTTTTTTTCTCAACACAAAAGCACACGGCCTATCATCAATCGATGCTGTGGTTTCGATTTTTCTAAGTTTTTTTTTTTTTTTTTTTTTTTTGGTGCGATAAAATAAATTGCATAGCCCTAGAATAAGTTGGGAGAGCCACGCTTGAATATATATTATCTTCCACGGGTGACCAAAAAAATTGTTTTAGATGTAGTACTTTCGCCTGTTTGCATTTTGTGGTGTCAATTTGTTATCAACATGTGACATCACTTTTTTTTTATTTGTCAATATAAGCTGTAAGTTTAAACATTAAGGCATTATTATACGACAAGGCGCGATTCTTTTGAGGCTTAAACGTAAAAAGGTAAAAAGTTGAGCGATTAAGATTCGAGTTGTTTGGTCTCTGCTTCAAATCTCATGTGACTTTCAGTAGAGATTATATGTCTATTTTATCTTACCTTTAACAAGAAAAATAATTGCACATAAAAATATCTCTTGCTATAATATAAAATAATTTGCAAGAAGATTGTATTAATATATATTTTAAAGAAACACGCAATATAAGCATACATATGGATAT